GGGACTATGGTGATGGCACACGGGTGACTTGGTGATGGGAAACCTGCGGGGATTACAATTGAGATGGAAAAAAAATGCACAAAATGATGTAAAAATAAACTGTTATTAAAAAAAGTATAAAACTTGATGAGGTAGTAAAGGAAATACACAATTTGCTCAGATTAATCATGTTTACTATGTTGACAAGTCACAGGTGTAGTTCACACTCATAAATGTCACTGAAATTATCTCATCTGCAATCCAGGTTGCATTTGGTTCTCAAGGAAAATGGTTAAGTTTTCAACTACAGATTTGGCTCATAAACCATTTTTTCTCGTTAGTTTCCTTGTATACACAGGTCCTACTCCAGAAACAACAAAACTGAGACAAGGAAGGCACCATAATTCAGTTGCACATAAGTAAACTGAATATATTTATAAAAGTTCTTATATTGAAATTATATTAGCTAAAGTCCTATTCAAAGCAAATGACTGCATTTAAGGTTTCATTTTGGAAACTGCTAAGGCACTAAGTAACCCAAACTATATAGTACAATGGGAAGTCATACAGTTTCTTATAAATGGAATAATTAATGGCCAACAAGTGAAAAAAATCCGGGCTGAAAAACAAAAATGATTTGACACACAGCAGCACTTTCTCTGAATTACCTAGAACAGTATGAAATGCCACCTGCAGGTGGCAGCAAATGTTGACTTTTCCTAGCCATCTGTAGTTTCAAATCACCCCAAAATAATTACTTGGCATTTTTAATGATACTACCTATATCTCACACTTACATTTAAAACAAGAAGAGGACTGCTATGAGGGAAACATCTGTTTAGACATTTAGCTGAGCACATACAAAGCTATTTTACATATTTCTGCAATTAGAAATTGAATCAGAAGATTAATAAGATCCATCTTTTTGCTCAGAAAAGTTTATGATTATATGTTTAGTCCATGAACTGTTCAAGCACATGCCTCATTCCAAGAACAGGAAAACTTATGGGGCTTTAAACGCCCTAGAATTTCAGGTTGATCCTGAACCAGCCTGCCTGCCACAATTATGGAAGTCACATCTTATGCCATCAGTACATTTAGAGAATGGCTAAGAATAATGGTCTGCTGGCTAAAATGTTTTATAAAATACCACATATAAAGAAAAAAAAAACATGGTTTAGATCAAAAAAGCAAGTGGACTAACAGTGACTGACTGGGAGCTGGGAATTCAAAGCTAAATGCCAATAGACAAGGTGCTGAGGAGACGCAAACTGACCTCCTGAATCTGTGCCTCTGAAGACAGAGAGAAGGAGTTCACTAAAAACCGCAAAGCTGCCCCCTGCCCCAGCATGTTCAGAGGCCAGTTTCTTCCTCATCCTGTTCTTACCCTACCAGATTGGAGACAGTTTTACTTAAGGGAAAAATGAACTAGAGAAACACAGGAGTCAGAACTCTAGACACAATACAGGGAGGAATAGAATAACTCAGGGAAGGTGAAGACTTCCCCACCCACCTGATGCCATTTCCTGTTTTGCTACTAGAATGCTAGCAGCTAGGATGTTGTCCCCCAAGCAATGATCAGAGAAATTCTCCCCGAAGAAATGAAATGACCCATGACAGTAACAACTAAGTAACTTTCCAGTAAGCTTCCAAACAGATTTTAGTACATCTCACTCTCAAATATTAATGTACAGACAAGGGTCAGCAGATACATCCCAGGCTAAGACCCACAATAGAAGAAAGTAGAACTTTGAGGAAACAGATAACAACAGTAGAAACCTTCATGTAAGGACTCTCCCTTTAACAGCCCCAGGAGAAAAGGCCACATCCATAAACAGGCTGAGAGGGCAGAAAACAACTCATGAAAATTAAATTTCTGATCACAGAAACTACAAATTCAGCAGGCAGACGAGATGTTGATGTTGAGGGTATCTGCCAGAATTTAGAGCAAACAGAAGAAGAAAAACGAGGACAAAAAGAAACTAAAATTAGGGCCCTCCCTGGTGGGTGCAGCAGGTTAAAGCACAGCACTAAGAAGCTAAAGCCACTTCAGCATGAGTTCAATCCCCACCCTGGAGGTGACCACATGGCATGGCAGACCTCTCCTGACCTGCTGGCTGCTCCCTCAGCAGTATATTTTGTCAGTTGGCCTGTTCTGCTCCCCATTCTGTCTCTAGTGAATCCTCTCACCACCCCTGCACCTCTGGCCTGTACAAATAAACTAAATTATAGGACTAAAGCTAGAGGTACAGTCAGATCAAAATACTCTGAGACAAAAACTCAACACTTAGAAGGGGAAAACTGTGGAAGAAGCACGAACAAAGGTAAATAGACACTTCATAGAAGCAAAGAGTAGAAATCTGTAGATTAAAAAGGGTCCACAAGTGAGCACACACAAGGATAAACGATAAGGGATCCTCACGGGGATGCATCATTTCGAGCTGCCAGGACAGAGAAGGTCAAGCAGAGGCCAGATGACCATTTAGCAGAGACGATGTGACAAACAATAAGACCAGATTGGTTACTCAACTACAAGACATTTAAGGCTAAGGATCCCTTGCAACATGGAAATTCATTGTAACTATGTGATTAAGAGCAGCTTTTTAGGGCTTTCCATTTTAAGATTAAAACAATCACTTATCTTCAAGACTAATGTAAGAGATATTATCATTAGATGATATTTAGGGACTTCAGTAGACAAGCAGTTTGTTACTCACTGGTGTTTGCAGCTTCTCTAATTTCTTTCAGTATTTCTGCTTCCATGGCAGGGTTATTGCAAATATCAACCCAAGTTCCTTCCACCCCTTTCTGTTGTGCCAAAAGTGTCAGCCTTTTCTGATTAGGAACCACAAAACTGATCACATAGGACTGGTCACTAAAAATTAGAAAATAAAACAAAATAGACATTAAAACACTGAGAACAATTATTCATGAAGTATAGTCAATTGAAGATTTCAGATCATTCTAAATTACTATTTTCTTATTGTTAAAGTTTCATTAAGAAATATAAGACCCATAGTACTGGCACAAAGATAGTCCTATAACTGATGATAGAGAATAGAGAACCCAGATGTAAATCATTGCATATATAGTCAAATGATCATCAGCAAAGGTGCCACAACCCCTTTATGGGAGAAGGACAGTCTCTTCGACAAATAGTGTTGAGACAAATGAATACCCACATAGAGAGGAATAAAACTGGAACTTTTTCTTAAAACACATACAAAAATTAACTTAATATGAATAGAGACCTAAATAGATAAAAGCTAAAATCATAAAACTCCTAGGAAAAAAATAAAATATACAGCACAGACTCAGGACATTGGATCTGACACCATTTTTCTCAGATATCATACCATAAGAACAGGCAACAAAAGCAAAAATAGATAAATAGAAGAACTTTTACAAAAAAACCCACTAATCATCAGTGAAACCTTACATTAGGCAGAATGGCTAGCACAAAAGAGAAAGAAGGGCTGACAATTGCTGGCTAGGATGTAGATAAAAGGGAAATCTTGTGTCCAGTTAGTGGGACTGTAAATTAGTTCAGTGAAAGAGATATTCATAGTCCCATTTTCCTGGCAGCTTTATTCACAATAGCCAACATGTGTGGAAATAACCTAAGTGTCCATAAACGAATGAATGGGACATGAATGGACCTTGAGGACATTTTTTTTTAAAGAGTTACTTATTTATGCACACAAGAACTGGTGTACAGGCCAGAAGGTGTGTGTCGGGGGAGGGGGTTTGAGCAGACTCACCAGAGACAGAGTGGGGAGCAGAACAGGAAGTTCTGCTGAAATACACTGCTGAGGGGAGCAGTAGGCTGGTCAGGAGAGGTCTGCTGGACCATGTGGGTCACCTCCCTGTCTGGGGATCAAATTTGTGCTACAGTGGCTATGGATTGCTTCATAATGCTGCATTTTAACCTGTTATGCCACCAGGAAGGGCCTGACATTGGGGACATTGATGCTAAGTATAGTGAGACAAATACTGCGCATCACCCACTATGTGGAAACTTAAAAAAACCCATAGCAACAGAGCGTAGATGAGCAGTGGAAGGAGAGGTTCATAAACAATACAAACCATCTATAAGATGAATACAGTCTGAGGATGTAATGTAATGGTGACTACAGCTGACAACACTGTATTATATAATAATATAAGAAAAACATTAATGGGCAAAGGATAGGACTATTCTCCACAGGTGATATACCAATGGCCAACAAGCATATGAAAATTTGCTCAACAGCATTAATCATCAGAAGTGAGAAATCTTCTCATTCTCAATATGATGTCTATCAAAAACCAGAAGTGTTGGCAAGGATATGGAGAAACTAGAACTTTTGTTCATTGTTGGTGGGAATGTAAAAATATTGGTACTGCTATGGAAAATGTTATGGCAGTTTCTAAAAAAAAATTAAAATAGAGCTACCACATGACCTGGCAATCCTACATCTGGGTTTATATACACAGAATTGAAGGCAGGATCATGAAGATATTTGCCAGTATTATGCATCAAAGTCAAGAGGTGGCAGCAGAGGCCTCCCTGATGACACAAGGGGTTAAGTTTCAGCACTATGAAGCTTTCTGCAGTCACTGCAGCAGGAGTTCCATCCACGGTCAGGGAGGTGACCCACATGGCACGGCAGACCTCTCGTGACCTGCATGCTGCTTCCCTCAGCAATCTACTTCAGTAGATCCTGTTCTGCTCCCCACTCTGTCTTTGGTGAATCCTCTCACGCCTCCTCCAACTCTGAACTACACCCAGCTTTTGTATGCGTATATATATATATATAGGGTGGAAGCAGCCCAAGCTGCCCATTGATGGACAGATGGGTAAATAATGTGTGGTCTACACACAGACTGGACTAGGATTCAGCCTTAAAAAATATTCTGAAACATGCTACAACATGGATGAACCTTGAGGACATTATGCTAAGTGAAATTAGCCAGTCACGAAAAACAAGTGTATGGTTTGTTTAATATGTATGCATAGTAGTCAAATTCACGGAACAGAAACTAGAGCAGTAGCCCCTAGAGGCTTGGGAAAGGGGAAGTTCAGGACTTGGACTTGCTCAACAGATAATACTTTTAGTTTTGCAAGATGGTAAAGTTGTGGTGATTGGTTGCAGGGCCAATGTGGATATACTTGACATGTTTAACTTGGTTAAGAGGGCATTGTTATGTTTTGTCTTTACAAACAAACCAAAAAAACTATTTTTGAATAGAGTAATAATGCTCATTAAATAAACCATATTAAGATATAAAGTAAATGCCTGAATCTCTCAGGTTTTTGATTTAGAAATCTTGTACAAGTGATGTTATCTTCATGGAAAAATAACATTACATCTGCTAAGCCTCAATGGTTGCTAATGATAAATGAAGTATTAATAGCTTTGGCATAGTGGAGCACTTATTTAGTGAGTGAGACATAGGTATATAATAAACAGTTAAAAATGCTTGATTATCTCAAATGATCTCCAAGTTGGTGAATTCAAGAACTTTCAGAAATGTATAATGTTACTCAACTCTGACGAAACTTACATGCTACCCTTATGATTATATACGATCAAATTATTTTCCAATGATCCTTTCATTGTAAGTATATGAAACACACAAATGTTACCTTTTGGCAAAAGCACAGATGTTATCAATAAGAGGACAATTCTTTAGTGCAGCTTCTACCTTCCCAAGAGAGACATATTCTCCAGCTTGCAACTTCACCAGATCTTTCTTACGATCTATAAATCATGAATGTTAAATTACAGTCTGTTTTATTAAGGTATGCACAATTCTAAATTTCATTGCCACGTCTTAACAAAGACACCTCTTCTTCTAAAATCTTGTCATTTATAATGCTTGTCCAAACACATCAGCTAAAAGGAAAATGCCTAGTTTAAGAAGTACTGGCTAAAATGTTACACCCTATACTGAATATTTAATACACTGTAAAAATCTTAAATATTACAATGACATTAATAGAAAGAACAAGGACGTTGGACCATCAGATTTAAATGGGAGCTCTGCCTGTTTCTAGCTATGTGATCCTGGGCATATTAAGTTGACCTCTCCAACCCTCAGTTTTACCAGGGATAATGATGCCTACACCTTCCATCGGCAGGCAGCATAATAATGGTATGGTGTACAGAACACACTATTTCCCGCTTTGACATGACTTTGTTAAAATGACAGTGCCCAAAGAATGCATTGGTACAAGACAGATTAAATAAAACATCAGGTGTTGATTTACGACCTGTACCTCAGCACTGACCTGCCTACTCATAACCCCCGCGTCTGCTACATGCCCAGACACACATGTGGTTCCAGCTAAGTGAAGGATAAAACAAAGAGAGAGTGGGGAGGCTGGTATACTGGTTGTAGATTTAATCATATTTTTTGGGCATTTCCCTTAGTAGATCAAACCTCTAGATGACAAATCAATTTTCCCAGGAAATTACTAAGTATTTTCAGGTCTAAAATGGGTCAAGACATATTCAAATGGACTGGAGATATGACTGAGGAAATGTTAAGACTTGAAAAGGACCTGTCTGGGACCCTACAGAATGCTCATTTTCTTTTAATTTTAACTTTTGTCTGATTAAAGTGGACCACACATGGCTGTTTTGAAATGACTCTTTGAACTTAAAAGTTTATTTCAATAGTGTCACTGAGGACAATATCAAAACAATGAACATTTTTGGATTGACTAAGCAAAGTAATGTTGAGGACTGACACTACATTCTAGAGTACAGAACTGTCTACAGTCATATGAATGACAAACAGGAGGACAGAAAGTGTATACATACTGGCCCTTCGATGAAGAGATTTTTCTCATATGCCAGATGAGAAACATCTGGAATAGGGTATATTACAGAAAATAGTCATACAGATCCACAGGCAGTTGACCAAAAATATAAAATATCTCTTGTGAGTAATTTGTTTCCTCAATACCAATCTACTATTTTCTTTCTCCCCACCCCTAAAGTGGTAGCTACTGTTATCACCACTTGGTAAGGTGAAGGTACTGCTCTGCTCTGAACATTTTATACACATCAATGCATTCAATCCTCACAACACTCCTTGGTCAGTATTGTTTCTCTTTTACAGATGGAGACATTCAGACGTAAGTTACATAGCTCACCCAAAGAGTGAACCGATCCAAAGAGTGAACTGGTGAACTGTCAACCCTACAAAAGACTCAAACAATATCCCTTCATACTTGTAGAAGCTACAAAAACTAAAGAAAAGCACAGCAAGAATACACTGACCTATAATCTGCAAACACCCATCGGGATGGAATTCTCCAATATCACCAGTGCAAAACCACCTTTGTCCATTTTCATCCACAGAATAATCCTCTGCTGTTTTCTCTTCGTTTTTAAAATATCCCATGGAGATATTCTGTCCGCCAATTACGATTTCACCTCTGGGGTTTGGCTTGTCGTGAATTGTATAACCGCCTGAAAGTCACAAAAGCAAATTAGTTATTATTCTAGAAATTTACTTGCATTAATTGTTAGAGCTCCTATGCAAATACATTTCTACTGTCAAATTTTATGTCACTTTATGAGAGAATATTATTTTGTTTTTACTAAGATTTACTTAAATTTACTTAGATTTCAGTAGCAGCAATGAAAACGCAATGATAATCTACCACCCAGCTCAAAACTTTCCAGCACTATATAAATAAATTAAAGATTTATTTATCTGTGCATCCATAACTGGGGTACAGGCCAGAGGTGCAGGGGTGGGGAGAGGATTCACCAGAGACAGAGTGGAGGAGCAAAGCAGGCAGATCCACGAAGTACAATGCTGAGGGGAGCAGCGGGCGGGTCAGCAGAGGTCTGCCACGCCATGTGGGTCACCTTCAGTGCAGGCAGGGATCAAACTCTTGCAAAAGTGGCTTTAGTTTCTTAATGCTGTGCTTTAACCCAGTGCGCCACCGGGGAGGGCCCAAATTATTAATTTTTTTGTGTCAGTATGTTTTGATTTTTTTCCTAAGGGGATATTAATCAAAAAGAACAGCTAGTGAATTCCTGTGAAAGGTAACAGCACTGAGAGGGAAAAGGAAGATCTGAGAGACAGCAGGGATTTTGCCTATGGCCAGTCACAACATTAAAATTAAAACACTGAAATAACTAGCAATAACTATTGAAATATTAGATTACTACTCATTATCTATTACTGAATAAAGCATAGTTCTGGCAAGTCAAGGATATAAGGAACAGTGGAGAAATGCTAATCAATAATATGGTATTTCCAATAGGAAAGTAGCTAGGAAAATATAATGAGACTTATTGTGATGATCATTTCCTAATGTATGCAAATGCCAAATCATTCATGTCATATACCTGAAACTAAAATGACACTGTATGTCAGATTTACTTTAATAAAATAAATAGTATTTTAGGTAGAATGGGTAGTGGGGATGACTGGAGCTGGTGGAAGTCATGGTATTGTATGCAGGCGTGCATTGCTTAATGAAGCTTTTAGTCAATGGACTGCACATATGATGGTGATTCCAACAGGCTATGCCATACTGCTTAGGGGTATAGTAGGTTATGCCATCTAGGTTTTAGTAGTTGTACTCTATGATTTTACACAGTGACAAAACTGCCTAACAATGAATGCTTTTTGTAAAACATACCTTGGTCTCTAAGTAATGAATGACTCTGTATAGATGTCAAGGCACGGAGTTGTACATCTGAAACTAACATGGTACTGTAAATCAATGTTATCTGTTTAAGATAAATGAAAATGTCCTCCAAAAAAGATTAATTAAGGGCCTCCCTGGTGGTGCAGGAGTTAAAGTCTGAGCCCTATGAAGCTATCACCAGCCACTGCAGCCATAGTTTGAGCCCCACCCAGGGATGCTTCCCACATGGTGCAGCAGACCTCTCCTGTCTCACCTGCTGCTCCCCTCACCTGTGTATTTCAGTCGATCTTCCTGTTCTGTTCCCCACTCTGTCTGTAATGAATGCTCTCACCCCCCACACCTCTGGCCTATAAGCCAGTTCTTATATGCATAAATAAATAAAGTAAATATTTTTAGAAAGAGAATATTTGAAATACAAAGAAACTCAAAATAAAGCTTACTTTAAGGAAAGTATGCCAAAATTTGAATACATAAGTCAAGCTGTCAATTAAATTTTGTCTTGGAAGGATTAAGAGCAAAGTTCTTGCAGCTGTTAGCTGCTCTTAAAATGGGACCGCACCCCCAAACTAGCATTAAAACATAATACCAGGAAAATCATCAAATAAAAATTAAAGGCAAAATTCCCTTTATCAAGTTTTACTATATGCCTTTTTACCTAACCCAGCTAATAAAACAATTCAGATGTTGATGTTCATTACACACAGGCAAATACCTATACCTTCCTCAGATTTTCATTCTAAAATTGGGAAGGCATTACCGTGGGAGAACATAGGATTTATTTTCCCATGATATAAAAACCCTTACAAATGAAACTGGCTTTTAAATGTGGTTTTTAAAAGGGAACTGTTATTTGCTCACAGAGCGACAGCAATGATTTACACGAAAAGTTGCATAGAAGACAAACTTTAAGAAACTTCTATGGCAGATAAAGCCCATTTTCTTGGGTTGGAACAAACTAAGAGTTAAGTCCTACAAGGTAACTAACTGGTCCATTAAAATTTTCAGATGAATATTCTTTCATAAAATCTTAAGCTTTCAGTTGCTCTTCCTTTAACTGGAAAAAATTAGGCTGTTAATTATCTGTTAATATATGCAGCTAATGTATATGCTTATTGTTTTTTCATTAATATCATCAGACTGACTTGCTTTTGCCTGTAGCAGATCTGAAAAAAAATCGCCACAATGTCTTCACAGGGTGGGTTTCCTCTCAGTAGCCTGCCTCTGCAGTTACATACAAAAATTCAAATTATACAGTTACTTGGAAAGCTGAGTCTCAACTACAGAAATATCTGCTGTGGAAGAAGCAAGATCTAAGAAAGTGGTGAGTGCATGGAATCAGTCTCCCCACCCCCTGAAAATCAGGAGTTTCATTTTCTAGCTCCAAACAAAGCAGCTAAGTTGGGCTTCAATGGATAAAATCTGTGTGCACATGCTCATACCCCTCTAACTTAGTGGGTAAGGGAATAATCCACCCACAAGTTTTTCCATCTTTACTATCAAATATTCCCAAGATCAGAATCATGATGCTTAGATGCCAGTTTCTTTTGCTCTTGGAGATCTAAGGATGTTACTGAAGAACAGAGCCAGCCAACGAGCAACCTCAGAGTCACCTGCTATTGCAGACAAGCTAACCCTGAAGGAAATGGAAGTTTTTGGCTCAGAGCAAATTGCACCACACCTACAATCTCACTCATCATAAAAGACTTACCTTCTTGCCAATCCTTTAGCTTAATTTCACAGCAGATGAGAGGGGCACCAACTCTGCCAGTAGTATAGTCAGTAACTAGGGAGGAAAAAGTAATAGACATTAGCATACCACATACTGGTGTGAGATCAGAAGAGTGGGATTCGATCCAGAGACAAAGAGGTGACAAAAGGAGTCCAAAGTGAGAGGGAGTGCAAAGTATGATCGTCATTCCATACTTCAACTTCATACTAACAGTGCAAGCAATTCTGGTGTTGCTACATGATTTTCGCTCCTCATGGCTATATTTCTGAAAATCAAGTACAAAAATCTCTCTTCAAAGGAGTGCTGTTCCCCCATTATGTACCTAGAACTCTGATGGGCCAGATTTTTGATTGCTATCCTTTCTCTAGCACTCATTCTTTGGCTGTGTACCTTGGTTAAGTTACCTAATCTCTGAGGTCTCCCATTTTCTCAACTTCTAAGTGGGGATAGTTATCAGAACCTCCCTCACGTAAGAACATACTGTAATGATTTGATGGGCTGATATGGACAGTACTTAAAACAAGGTAGAGGTGTCTCATAAAAGTAAACAGGATAAAATCAGAGGTTCTGTGATACAGGCAGACACAGTGACTGCAAAGCTGTTATCACAGTGATGTGAAGAAATAAAAGGCTGGAAGCCAAATGAGGCACAGGGAAGGGATAATCCACTGAAAAATGGGAAGGACCTGGTGAAAGTCAAAGATAGTAAAATAAGCAATCAGAATGACTTCAAACTATATGGCTTGTGATGACGGCATTCATTTTGGACACAAAGAACTTAAGTAGGATATTCAAAAAAAGTCCTATATATTCCCTAAAGTTTCACAATCTTAAGTGATTTTGCTCCCCTCCCCCCAACCTCACCCTGGAGGCATATTTGGCAATGTTTGAACTGTACATCATTGTCCCAAGTGAGAGGGGAGGGGAGGATTTCTAATTCCATCCAGTTGCTTGCCATCCTCCAATATCAATAAAGCCTTAACCAAAAAGAACTTACTGGTTCAAGATTTCAAGTATGCTGAAGCCGAGAGACCCTGCTATAGGCTATTGGCAAAAAGGAAAACAACAGAGGAGAAAACAAACAAGAAGTCTGGCAGGATTACAGAATAAAGAAGGGAAATGCAAGTGGTATTTATTCCCAGAGTGCAATTTTCTAAGGAATAATCATTTAGAGAGAGCATGAAAGTACTGGGGTGCTAGAAATTTTGAGGACCGACAACGTAGCCTATATATTTACAAGGCATTTATGGGGGTCGGGGAAGCACCGATACTCTTAAGTAAGAGAGTCTGAAATTCTGTAGGCTTGCACTGAATTACTGAAAAGGCATTCCATGAGCAAGGGCATGCAAGGGAGTGTAGTAGCAATGTGAGTGGACAATTCTTTGCCACACGGAAACTGCTCACCTTCAGTGACTGTGCCCGCGCCACACGATTCTGTCAGTCCGTAGCCCTGACCCACTGGGCAACAGAAGCACACGTTCATGAACCGGTGTGTCTGAGGAGACAGTGGGGCACCTCCCGACAGCATCATACGGACATTCCCTCCCAGCAGGGCCTTCACCTTTTTAAACAGTATCCTTAATAAAAGGGGAGAGAAATGATTTTAATACAGACAGATATTATTCTGGACAACATGCGTATTTGTCAGCTTTAGGAAAGCTTTCAAAATGTTTGGCTGAACAACTAAGTTTTCAGAACCATGCAGATCATGAGAGGTTCACAACACCACAGCTAGTGGCACCTTGAAGAAAAAAAAAAGCCAGAAAAACTTGCGAATGCCAAAAATCCCACAACCACTCAGTGTCAGGAAACTGCTCTGACATACAGCAAATAAAATGATGTCAGGTGGAAAAAATTAATGTTACCTTTGGCACATTTAGTCATTGATCTTGTTTCCCTTCTAATGAAAAATGTATCCCCATCCCCACCCACCCCATGCGCTGCATTTAAAGTAACCTTCATAGACCCAGACTTGCTACACTCATCAATGCAATAAGCCTGATCTTCACGCAGAACAAATCTTGAATATGACTTTTTTAAAGGTAGAAATAGCAGTCTTTTTAAAACTTAACAGCATTTATTTCATGAGACCAAATTTTATAACTAAGCCTTAAATAGTTACTCAGAAATTGAAATTTGTGAAGTTGCCAAAATTAGAGTTTAGGGTCCTCTGCTTGCTGCTTAGAATTAAAAGTGAATAAAGGAGCAATTCAACCTCAGGATCATGGCAAGTGATGTTCTAGCTACACCGACTTGCCATTTACCTATTCACCTCCCAGAGGTAAGAACATGCAAAGATTTAAGGTCCCAAACCCTTGTCTATGATATGTACTTACAGGTTGCACAGTGGTGCGTCATATCCCTTCTTGATCTGTTCCAATTTGTAGTCATACCCTATCTTGAAAAGAGTTTTCTGGATATAATTCATCTCTTGGACTTTGCTCATAACATTCTTGTAAATTCTATCCATAATTTCCTAAAATGTAAGCAAAATATTCACTAATCTGGGAAAAAAATACACTGAGAGACTTTCTAGTAAAGATAACTGATTTCCAACATCTTAGAAAAGGTTATTTAGTATAACGGACATATCTGCATTATATAATCAAATCTACTGACTGCTATTTCAAGTTGTGTAAGGATAGGGTTTACTTTAGCTCTAGACACAAGTTTATCTCATTTTAAAAAAAAAGTTAGATAGACTACAAACAATTCATTATGTTCTTATAGAAAAATAATTCTTAAAAATTCTTTCCTTTCAAATATATTAGCTTGTTTCTCAAAAAGCACCCTATTAAGTTCAATTTAATCCTGATGCTTTTCTTTTCTCTTTATTATTACAATACCACCTTGCAACTATTACACCAAATATCAAAAATACTATATTATGTTTTCTGAAGTGGTGTGAACCTATTCTATTCTGCTAAATCATATTGTGAAGCAATGTTACCTCAATTAAAAAAAAACTTAGCAAAATTAACAAGAATTATTGAAAGCACACCTATGTACAAATGACTAGTTAGAAATACTTACAAATGACTAGTGTAAATTCAGTTGTGCTACAATGAGTAACTATAGATGGTGTCTCCATATTAGAATAGGCCATTTACAATGAGGACTATAGAACGATCCCTTGCATTATGTTAAATCAAGTAAGTCAGATCGGACCAAACTGCTCCATGATGTCACTTATATGAGATATCTAAGGAAGCCAAAATCATAGAAACAGAGAGGAGATTGGTAGTTGCCAGGGGCCAGGCATCAGGAAATTGGGAAGAGATATTGTTGAAAGGGTAAAAACTTGCAGATCGAAGGTGAGTAAGTGCTTGGAATCTAATGTACCGCATGGTGACTACAGTTCACAAGAGCATGTTGTATACTCAACAATTGCTAAGATGAGTAACATACAACCAAAGAGGTGTGAAGCTATTCCCCTAAATCATATACATTGTTATAAAGCAAAGTTACCTATATTCAAAAAATGGAATGACCAGTTCTCACACTAGGTAATGTGAATTAGTTCATTTTTGTCGTCTAATTTTCCAATATTGGCATGCATTTCAGAAGTTTGCTGTATCACCTTCCCATTTACACTCCATATATTCAACAAAGTATTAAAATGTAATGTACCCATATATCATAGAGTATTACTTTGATAAAAAGTTGAAGTGCACAAAATGAAGGAGGACATTCACATTCTGTACTCACCGGAACAGCAGCCATGAGGGTGGGCTTTAGCACAGTACAGTCTCCTTTGCTTCCTTTTTTAATTTTGCTGGACTGTATTACATAAAAAGTAACGAGGATTAGGGAAACCAAACTTAGTGGGGAAAATGCTGTTATTCAAGTAATAACAATAACAAGAAAGGTTACACATGGCAATTGATCTCCTATTGCTCTGTGACTTATTTGTTACAATTATTATACCTATTATAACCATAACCATAGTCTAAAGTGTAAGTGCTTTATCTTGTATATTATTTCTCTGGCATATGTCAGTCTTTCTTAAAATAGAAATTCTTCAAACTAAAGAAGGATGGGACATTTTGGTAGGCCAAACTTTCTAAATACGTAATATCAAATATAGCACAGAACTTTTATTTAAAGAAACAAAGGTCAACACTAAGGTAGAATGAACACTAAGACAATGCTGAAGATAATTTTAACTTTGATTAGGTAGAAGGCAATGCCCTATCTCAGAGTCACCACTATAAACATCAGTTAACATCACATAGAAATACTAATTTAAAGACACTGTCATGACCAAATGGAGGTACCTACCTACGTATGTTAATGTGGATTTCTTCTCCCCCCTCTTTCCTTCCTTTCTTACCTTCTCTTATATGTAAATGTTATTTGGCATTTTAAATTACAAGTCAGTAGGTAGAAAAACTGTCCATCGAGGAAGGTAGATAATGCAGTTCGTTATTCATGCCAACCATAGCAAACGTGGCCTAAGATTAACTCATAATTAGTAGTAGTGTGGTGATCCACCAGTACTACCAGCTTTGTCATAGAGAAGGTTCTGCTCATAGAGCGCAACTGCTTTTATCTTACTTTTAAGACAGATAAAGGAAATAAAAGAACTCCTTGTGTGTTGTGTATGTGCACATTGTGAGTGGCAATCTACACGCACACAGGCACAGCATACACAGGAGGGCAGCTCTGTAGTCTTCTGTAGAGAGAAAGATGGGCTCTTATGCCCTTTGACAGAGCTTTGAGTCAGCCTAAGTGTCTCAAGTCATTTTTTTGTTATAGAAAGCATTTCTGGGATAATAGTAGCCACAAGCAACCATTCCTTATTTCTTCATCACGCCTAGTGATATATCAGTTTTTTTTTTTTTAAAGATTTATTTATTTATTCATACAGAACTGGGGTACAGGCCAGAGGCTGAGGGGCGGTGAGAGGCTTCACCAGAGACAGAGCGGGGAGCAGAACAGGCAGATCGACGAAGTACACTGCTGAGGGGAGCAGCGGGCGGGTCAGGAGAGGTCTGCCACGCCATGTGGTCACCTCCGGGGCAGGCGGGGATCGAACTCATGCGGAAGTGGCTTTTTTAGCTTCTCAGTGCTGCGCTTTAACCCGCTGCGCCACCAGGGAGGGCCGATATATCAGTTTTAATATGACTGTAGAAGCCTTAGTTGTGAAAACATCACTATCATCTTCTTGCTTCAAATGTGGGGCTCTGGTCTCCTACCATTTTGATTTCCTATGTGAGCCAGACTCTTGGATTTTAGATTCCTAGTAAGACTTGAGTCTCATTTAAAAGGTAGGTGTGAATGTTCCTGATAGATGTTAGCAGCCTTCTAATGTATACTATTTGGACTAAGAAAATGAAATCAGACAAGCAACAGATTTCAACTGTACCCTTTCCCACAGTGAGGTTATTGTTTTCAAAAAGGCATTGAAAACAAAGGTTGTTAGTCCCTGGCTTCTTGGCTTCCCAGGGGGAACCAAAAAAAATCATACTTAGAGCTTAATGAAATGTTTTTCACATTTTAAAAACATCTCTGAACATAAGAAACCCCCCACTGCAATGTGTTAATATGTAGCAATTACTGTAGATTTTTCTGAGTTTCTTTTTTACAATTTCAGCTCTAGTCTTATTCACAGGCCTATTTTGAGTTTACTGAACTGAGTGCTGCCTACTAGTTTACTGATAATTTACTTTTTCTCTCCATGTATTTTATCAGACATGAACTTTTAACAAATAGTATAGTTGAATACAGCAATTCTCTATCCTAAAAAGTGGATGTGCTCCTAAAAGTATAAAGTAGGAAGATGTTTGGAACACAGAACTATTTTTCATGGAAAAAACATTTTATAGGTATTAGGGTTAACCTTGGGGTGGTTGGTAACAACCAGGATAAGAACACAAGGGTCATTCTGGCTTGCTAGAATTGCTCTTTGCTTTTTATCTAGGCACTGAAGGTTTGTGCATTTTCAGTTAAGACATCAAAAACAGATGGTTGGAATCTCAAATCAGGAAAGAAGTATCCATTTAACTTTTTTGTCTGAATCTTTTACAAACCATCAAACCACTTGTGAAATGCTACTACTAACCCCAGAAGTATTGCAGTTGCAAACTGCAAACACCAAATCCTCTTACCAAATGCATGCTCCCTTGCGACTCGCAAACAGAAGACAGCATTGCCTGGGTTCTGAAAATAACAACTGAGCTTGCAGCAATGGGAGTGGCAGAAGCTACGAAGTCAAGCTATCGCTGCCTACACAAGCGTAGCTTGTTTTATTGCATTATCACCTTACTGTGCTTCACAGAGAGCGCACAATTTACCAAGTGACTGACTGTGGCAACCTTGCCTGAAGCAAGTGTGTTGGTATCAGTTTCAAACAGTATGTCCTCACTTACTTCTGTGTCATATTAATTAATGTATAACATACTGTTTAAGATAAAATGTTATTGCATGCTTAGTAGATTACAGTATAGTGTGAATATAACTTTTCCATATACTTGAAAATAAAATGTGCATGATTCATTGTGATATAGTGAAATTTTATTGCAATAGTTTCAGGCAAAACCTGAAATATTTGAAATGTACCTTTACTCAGTCTCTTATCTAGATTATTCACATGATCCTTAGAAGTTCCTTCCCCAGATAGATGCCTGGTTGAAACTTTTCTAAAGCAAATGTGTTAAAGAAGAAATGAAGAATAAGTGTGGACAGTATGTATGGAGTGTGTATCTTTCAAATGGCGTTAAAATGCATAAGGTTGTCATATCCACTGTTGAACAACCAGCTCTGAACAAGAGGGAGAAGGAAAAACTATACCCCAAGAATAGGGAACTGACAGCTGCCTTTAGAGAGTCTACAGTGATGCCCAAAGAAACTTTCTGAGATGATAGAAAAGTTCCAATTATAGCTATTAGAATGTATGGTATCCAGTATGGTAGCCACTAGTCACACATGGCCACTAAGAAGGTTCTAAACATAGTTTCTTAGAGTAACAAAGAAATGGAATTTTTCTAATCTAATTATAATTGATTTGTATTTCAACATCACTGGTGGCTACTGTATAATATAGTAAAAATAGCTCTAGAGAAAACTCAACAAAATTGGGCCAAATTCTGGCCACCACATTGCCTTACAAAAAATACCCCATAGGCTGTCAAAAAGGTTCAGTGTATTTATATTCTCTAGCCAACCTCTCCAAAGTAACAACTTACAGAGAAAGGCAAGATGAAAGTAATTATAGTTTCAAATATGTAGCTAAAGCAATAACAAAACCCAAGTTTATTACAGCTCCATATTGCTCATGGAAGCTAGTTTTGAAGTAAAGAAGCAAGTTTTAAGTGAATTAAAATCTCTCCTTTTAATAATATACTCTCAACTACACAATGTAACTTAATATAATTGTGCTGGGAAAAAAAAGTGTCACCTGATCAGAGAGTGTCAGTGGAGAAGAATATCCAATCCTACAGCCATAGGTAAAGCAAGATATCTCTGCTGTCAATTCTAGTACATGAGCCAAAGGCAAGTAGCCAATGTATGTGTCCTTTGGTCTAAAAAAAAAAGAAAAAATATAAATATAAATATATATATATATATATATATATATGAGAAACATTTTAGCCATTCTTAAAAAGTCACTGTACATGAGAAACATCAATAACCTTGTCATATAAATATTGATTTGAATTTAGAGAACGCCAAATATGAGCTCTGATTTCTAAGCAGAAGGCCAAATAATTATCTCTTACCCCAGTCCAGGAATCCTCTCACACTGGCCTGTCATTCCGGCTATCAAATTGCTGTGATGCATCATCACGCCCTTTGGTCTTCCAGTGGAGCCGCTGGTGTACATGACGATAGCCATGTCGGACGGGGTTGGTCTATTTGGGGGAATGCTCACTGAATGAACAAAACAGAGCACCGTGTTTTCTTAATTTAAAAGAGAAGTTGCTAAATGTAGATATTTAGACTCTGATATAATAATAAAAAAGCATTTGTAAATTATTGGTAATAAACAAAACTAAATTGGTCATAAAATGATATTTGCCTCACACTGAAATTTCATCTACTGTTTGGCCTCTTTTTCGATATTTAGCCTAACCCCTGTCTGTTCATGCTCTCCAAAGTATTATAAATAGAGGAATGTGTGGCAAAGATTTCTAGGGCTTTGAATAATCAAAGCAATCAATCATTGTGTATAAGCACTTCGGGCCTCAGTTTTCTCATCTCTGAAATGAGATACTTGGACATGATTATGGTTCTTAACTTAAAATACTATCTCTGGACCCCAGTCTGAAAACTTTGATCCTGTATATCTGGAATAGATTACCGGTAACACTCATACACACTCCTAATTGAAATCTACTCAAACTAATTTTCAAGTTATTGGAAAAATAAGTTTAAAATAACTGAATCAAGAACACTGAATTAGATTCAATTCAATTAGCCATTATATATTTATACATTTAAAATTATTTTAAGATTACATCCAGGTCACAAGCAAAAGTCAAAGGACATCAAACTTATCTTCTTTCCTACTATTTTTATAGTTGTGTATTGGTATCTGTATAGGAAATTATTTTTTTTTAAAAAAAAAAGATTTATTTATTTATGCATACAGAACTGAGTACACAGGCCAGAAGTGCAGGGTGGTGAGAGGATTCACCAGAGACAGAGTGGGGAGCAGAACAGGCAAACTGATGAAGTACACTGCTAAGGGGAGCAGCAGGTGGGTCAGGAGAAGGTCTGCCACGCCATGTGGATCACCTCCCTGCCAAGGATCAAACTGGTGCTGAGGTGGCTATGGCTAGCTTCATAGCGCCACACTTTAACCCGTTGTGCCACCAGGGAGGGCCCAGTATAGGACATTTTTAATTATTGAAAATGCAATCAGATAAAAAATTATAGCAGGAGGTCCTTTTTGTATTTCTGCTCTCATTCTCTCACAGCTCACTCATGCCTGCAGTTGGAATAATTCTTGGGTATCTGAATTATTGGTTCTTTGTGTTTTCCCCACTCTGGGTCTGACTCTTTGGATCAGTCCTTCATTCTCATCAAAGGTATATTAAAAAATACCTAAACTATATCTAAATTTTACTGCTTCCAGTCCTCTGGCTGAAGGCAGAAAATAGTAAAGGGTCCTGAGCTCCAGGGCTACCTTTCCTTATTCAATAATTAAAGGAAAATAATAGAGGTTTTCCCAACAGATTGTATTTAGTCTCCTTGAACGGGGTCAGCAAACTGTTTTTACAAAGATCATCTGGCAAACATTCTAGTTTGAGAGCCAGATGGCTGCTTCTCATAAACTACTCAATTCTACTGTTGTAAAGGGAGAGGAACTACAGACAACTGGTAAATAGATGTGATAGGTTTCAATCAAAGTTTATGAGAGAAAGAGTCAGCCTAATTTGTCAAACTCTGCTATAGAGTTGTGCTTCTCCAATAATCTGTTGTGAAGTCCTCCCTCCATAATAATTTATGGATACTTTTGTAAAATATAACAATAGTGAAATGAAAACATGAGGCACAAATGTTAGTATTTAAAGGATCTTCTAGTCTATAAAAAAGTAGCTATCATAGACATAACTTTTTTTGTTATTCCACAACAGTAACTAAACAAAAAGATGAGTGAAAATATAACTCCCCTCTTCCTAAATGTCCATACATACATGTTTTAGATTACTTAAATACTTGAAATACTTAAAATTTTTTAATTCTTCATTTGTTCCTTGCTGTTAATTTAACTGGACTGTCAACAGTGCTCCCTTTTGAAGAGAAAGGCAGGGAAAACCTTAATTATTTATGGTTTTGATATTTTTCAAATGTTTTTAAAACTTCAAAGAAATTTAGTTTTCACTCATATCTCTTCTTTGCCTAACTTATTGAAATAACAATTCTTGAAGAGATATGTTTTAACTACTTTACTTACAGTTTTCTGGTTTGGATCCCAAGTCTTCTACTGATTGCATGCTGTGAATCTCAAATCCTTCAGGGTATTCTGCTTTATTGATAGACTTATTGTCCACATAAATGATATGTTTAACACAATTAATATCTGGCAATGCAGTCTGTTAAACAGAAAGAAAATTCAAGTATTAAACATGGGCCCGCAATAAACTCAATTATTGAACATTTTCCTATCCTGACAGCATAGCATGAACTAAGAGAAAATTTCATATTACCTTAAGTTTACCTTCCAGAAGTTCAACACTAGTGATCAGATAGGTCGCCTCAGATTCATTTAATCCATGAACTACAGCTTCTTTGCCAAGTGTGGCATATAAAGTCACGACTACATAGTTAAAAAAAAATACACATAAAAGTTAAGTGAAAAACATTTTTAGGTATGTTGTTTAAAACAGGCTTGAATGATGGGTACTCTCACAGACCCAAAGGTATTTTATAATTGAATTTGATTCCATAACTTCTGTAATTACCCTTCAGCTTCATATCACACTTTCTGGTAGTCTCCCAATTTTTCTTATAACTTCTTAGGATTAGAAAGTTAGATACAGAAATACTGGAAATGCCACAGCTGGTTAGACTGCAGTCAATTAAGATTCTTAAGGTGAATAGGTTATGGCTGAACTCTTAATTCAGGTGAGATCTAGCCTAGCCTTGTGACACACACCTTCACTGATCACAGTACCAATGGACAGACATGTCTCAGAGAATCCTCAAATTTGGAGGATCCCAACTCAGAAAGTCAGTCATGAATCACATTCCTACTCCTTCCAAAAGTCATTTATTTTTAAAGAGGCTCCAAAGTCCAAGCGGATGGGTGATCTAAAGCTTTAATTGGAGAGGTCGAGAAAATCTACTCTTTAGGCACTACCAATGAAAACAAACTGAAAGGTCGGGTAGAACTAAAGAATATCTGCTAAACTTAGATTGAACTTGGAAATTCAGTTCTCGGCTGGTAACCAAACAGGCATGTGGTTAATTAAGAGCAGTCAATTTTTAGGAGGTGTAGACTGGTGAAGTTGGGTCACGGTGGGTACAGAGGATCTTTCTCATATTATCTATTTTCTATTTGTTTGAAATGCAAATTCTCAATTTCTATGCTACACCTGTAGTGCCCAATTTCATTCAACATATGCATGAGTGATTACTATGGGACACTATACAGCATCGTTCATTTTTAAAAAACCATTTATTGTATAGTGGCAAAACTGAATGCTGAAGAATCAGAAATATACCCAGTTCTACCTTCTGGATAATACAGCTAATGCCAATTCAGCTGCATGTACTTATTTCATACATAAATTGCAATCAATTTAATAGGAGGTCTCAAAGTAAAACAATGAAGTAGAATTAGCCTCAGCAATGACTTTGTTGTTTTAATCATTATTCTGTATCCCTTCCTAAAAAATATCCCTGTGTGCCAAATCTTTCCAATACAATTCACTTCCAGTTGAAAAGCAAAATTCAAATTCTTTCCTTTAAAGTTGCCAATTCCCATACCATTTCTTAGAAGTACATCAGAGCAGTTATCTAAGGCAGTTTAGCCACACATTACAATATTACTGTTTTGTGGACACAATTTGTGTAGAAATACTATACTGAAGCCCACCTTTTTTTTAAAACTGGAGACTCTAAGGACAATTTCACATAGAAGAAAAGCGCTCTCCTCCTCCCTCCCTCCCTCCAAAAATGAAGACACTTACGAGGAAAGTTGTATTTAAAGCAGGTCTGTGCTGAAATCATCCATTCGGCCCTGGTCTCACAGAAAATGGCAATGGTGTTCTTTGGTTTTAGTCCCAAGGCAGTGAGTCCACTGCCGAAGTTATTCACTCTTTCGTTCACTTCAAGATAATTCATCCATTTATAATTCCCAAGAATTAGCTGTTAAAATGAAGCATTCTCTAGTATTAGTATAGTTATACAAACAAACAAGATGCAATTCAATGCAGGCATCTAAAAGTGCTCTTAAGTGCATATTCAGAAGCTCTGAGCACCTTCTGAGAATGAGTTATACAGCACTACAAGAGAATGCCTGCACAGATTTAAATGTGCATGACTTAGGATGAAGCAGAATTTACTTTTCCTTTAAAAAAAATAAGTACAAGCCCTCCCTGGTGGCACAGTGGGTTAAAGCACAGCACTAAGAAGCTAAAGCCACTTCCGCCTGCCCCGGAGGTGATCCACAAGTCACAGCAGACCTCTCCTGACCTGACCCGCCTGACCTCTCCTGACCGGCCTGCTGCTCCCCTCAGAGTCAGTCTGCCTGTTCAGCTCCCCGCTCTGTCACTGGTGAATCCTTTCTCTGCCCCTGCACCTCTGGCCTGTACCCCAGTTCTGTATGCACAAATAAATAAATCTTAAAAAAAATAGTAATAAGTACAAAGATGCTGTACCTTCTTAAAAACCTTTCCATTTGGCTGCATTTCATTTTCTTCACTTAGTACTTCCCTGGTCCCCAGGCTGTCCTTCTTCCCAAACTTGGACACGGCGTGATCAAATAATTTATCCAAAGTGTCTGCTCCAGGGATGTCTATGACAGCTAGCGAGTCGAAGTGTGTGACAGAGCGATATGGACTTCCAGGTTGGTCTGAAGTGGGCTTAGCTTTTATTCTCTTTGCCATAGCGTTTTTCTTCTTGGCATTGGTAAGAAAATACCATGGAATAAATATAAGGGCACTGTATGTTGTTATCAACAAGTGGACAGGAAGCAAAATAATGGTGAGCACATTTAGCTTAAGTTTCATAATGGCAAGGCTTCTATAGTGGTGTTTATTTCTTGTTATTCTTTGGCTTTGGAAAGCCTTATTTTGCTGAAGAAGGCAATAACGGAAGCAGCAGCAAGAGTAGCAGGATAGCCAAGGCAGTTCACACAGATAAAAGTTAGTAATCTTTGGAAGCCAACAATAAAGTACACCTGCAGATGAAGACAATGAACCAGGCAGAGAGCAGGGAAAAAAACAAAACAAAAGAGCATTAACAAGTTGATAGCACCACTGACTGAAATATCAGGTTTAGTTACTATAATTGATAAGATAAGGAAAGATGAAATAACTGGTTTGAAAGGCTGATGTTTTTCATGATTGCCATAAACTCCTCTACCCCAAGTTTTTGGGTATACTGTGTTCTACATACACATCATTCTGGAAGTCATATTAACACTATTTTAATGCATAAAAAATGCATGACTATGACATTAAAATTTGGCCATGATTCGGCAGAATAGGAAATGCCAATATTAAGAATTTTCTTAAAAACACATGTAGGCTAGGCAGCTTTAAATAGGATTAGATTTTTTTTATCCAAGAGGAAATAAAAATCTAATGTAAGTTTATTTCTCAAAGATTAACACAGAACTATCATTCTGGGTTCTTTGCTAAGATCAATTTCTGAAGTAATGCTATTCACTCTCTCCTATCTCCACAATTGCAGCAATACAGTAAAAAATCATTTCCTAAGTATGTCCTTTGTACTCAGAATTACACCAGTTGCCTGAAAATAGTAGCATTACGTGCAAAGTAGTATATGGCCTGGCCCTTACTCAAGACAAGTTAATACTTATGAAGCAATCAGCACACAAGATAATCTGGTGTTTTTCAAACAGTGGAGGTGAGGGGTGTGATGCTGACCTATTTCTTCAAATAAACTCATGCAGACTGCACAAAGGTAAAAGTTAAATTGGAAGTGCTCTGGCTGAAACAAGGGTTGGAGGTGTCCAGAATCCCACCCAGATTTCCTGGAACTCCACCCCCAAGATTATCACTGTAGAGCATTTCCAAGCCCTGCAAAATTACTAAGTAACATAGCGTTTATAAAGAAATGGAAAAGACTGCATAAATAAATGTATTATGAGCTCAAAGGAAGTACAAAATGACCAAAACTAACTTGGGGGGTATGGTTTATGGAGGGTTAACATCCAACTGACCCTTGTGTTGGTGATGTGGACATGATGGAGAAAGAATAGAAGACATTCTGCTCAGGGGAGCTATGTGAAGAAACAGGTAGGAAGGGCTGGGGGAGAGGAAGGAATGCCAATAATGGCACCAGCATGGCTGGGACCCATGAGATACACTGGCTAAATAGGCTACGGTAGCACTTGATAAGACAAATCAAGTCAGATTTGATATATCAGAAAACTGGGGGAGAGGGCTGCTGAAGGTCACAAAACATGGCAAATTGGAGAGGAACTGCAGAAGCAGCCTCTGAGTTAATAAAGTCTCTCAGGGTACTTGCCTTCAGTTGAGAAAAATATGTTCATAAGTACCCGTGTATTTCAATTATGAAAAATGCATATGTTAGCTCACTTTGAAGAGATGAGTTGAACTTCATCCTTCTGCAGTTCTTGTGGAAACGGACTGACAGACTTAACTCAACTGACCACAAGCCAGCTGTGTATTTTTATACCAATTACTACAAATTAAGTAGCTTAACCCCACCTCTGCCTTTGTTCATATCCTTCAACTGAGTGTGGTAGAATTGGCAAGAATCTACAAGCAAAAAGGACCTTGGGTTAAGTCCTCATGTCTACCAGTAACTGTGTAACTTTGAGCAATGACATCTGGCTGAACTTGAGCTAAGATCAGCGATGGACCCCCTTCGAGAATCCAACAAAAACTAGGACTCCAACTCCTCTCAAAAGATGTGTAAAACAATGTTAAGGGGTATTTGGGGTCTGGAAGGCGGGGAGGAAAGTGTGCTATATGCAAAGTAATTAGAAAAGCTCATCAGGCATAATAATAAAAAAAAATGTGTAAAACAATATACACAATTTCAGGGGAACATGAGTTCCTTGAAATCTATCCAAGAAACCCAAGTGGCAACAGCAAACCTGAACTGTCACTTTCTGGCCTGGGGCTCTTCCAACATCAAGTTTTATGATGTGGGCTACCTAGAAATTGCTTTCTTAATCATTCATTTCCTCAAGATAAGTTACGTTAAATGCCTTATCATACACAAGACCTTCCTCTAATAATCCCCTCCTCCATTAAACATTTCATGGCTACCCAATTTCACAACAATCATTCCTTTTTTTATTTTCCAACATCACCTGAAATAGCTGCTTGGATGTTGAAATGATGGCAATATAACCAGGGATAAAAATGAATGGCAGACAAGTATAGAGACAGACCAGTAGTTCTCACCCTATAAAATCCAAGACCTCTTTCTCTTCATTTATAACATTTCTTTATAAACCTCAAAGGATAATAACAAATGATAACCTACCTAACAACATATACATTTTTAAAATAGGTCCTTGCTGGTACTATAAAGGAAATCCAAAAGAAAATTAACTCAGGATAAAATAGTGCTTATTTCAATAAACAAATTCTCATAAAAAATTCTAGATGATTTAAAAAGTCTTCATATTGATAAAATGCCCCAGAGGTGTGAGTACCAACTCATTTTCATTTGAGAAATTGTTAGACTTAAAATATATAAAGAACTAGAAGACAGTTTTGAAAGGGATAAACTAGTTGGATTTAAACTGTATTGTATGATTTGTAGTTATTCATGTTACAATACGCACTTAATCGCATATATATGTAAGCCTTGGAGGTAGGGAAATGTTTTCTATACAAGGCTCATAGTACAGAGACACAAAAACATGGTCAACACACATGCACAGTAGGCAAGGCTAAAAGGACATTCAGATGGAGTGTCACTAAAGAGATCATTTAGTGCAGAGGCTTTCAAATTCTTTCGGGCAGCGATGAGGGGGCATGGGTCATGCATTTGAAGAAAATCTTCTATGGACATGAAAACACAAGTACAGGTAAAAACAGAAAGCAGATCTGCCTGGTGGGAGAGCTGTGACAGCCTTTGAAAGGACAACTTGGGATCTCGTTTTCAGCTGAACATTTGAATTACAGATAAGTCTGTTTGGTCATCTTGCAGAGAAGAGAATGAGGGACAGTGCAAATGGTAATCAAGCCCATAACCAAGTCTGATGCTCTACCCTCTTGAAATCCGTCCCTGTCAAAGGTTCTCCAGGGTTACACACATGTCTACTGATAAATTAACTTTAAGAAAATATGTGAACACTACTCTGTGTCACCTTTGACAATGTAATACAGAAACAGAATACCAGGTTATAATCCATGGGCAATAATCAGTCCATGGAATAGTCTTAACAATCCTGTCTGCAACTGGTGAACTTACTTGGCAAAACCACAGCCTGGTTAAATCCAATTCTCTACCTCACCTGCACCTCTAAGTTAGATCATGTTGCCCAACTGCTGAACTTGGCTAGAGAAAAGCATGCCTGTGCTGAATGCTCAACTTTAAGACCACAAGGGTGCCCTCAACTGAGTCATCAAGGCAAAGCACACTAGTCCGCTCACTGGTGTACTCTGTTGGGGCTCATCCTCTGCTCTCTTCTCCTCCTCCTCCTCCCTTTCCCCATTCTCAACTGTCTTACTATTTTGTTGAGAAGTGGCAAAGTCTGCAAACTTGCAGATGCCCACCACTGTTTGTACCCATCTGTTCACATCTACAGCCACACACCCTGTTCTCTCCCTTCTCTGCCATGGGTTAGTGCTGCTCCCAGCTCTGCTGGGGTGCTGTTCTGCTGCTTCTTCTCTTTTTGGCCTCATTAATTTTTCCTGTTCTACTAAAATGTTCCCATTACAATAACATTAACAGGCTATTTTTTTTTTTCATCTTTAAAGCTATCCCCTCTCTTCTTCTTGAGCTACAGCCCCATTCTCCTTCTCCTCCATTTATTCTCCTCTTCAGGATCCCTTGACTATGCTCTGTCTCCCAGTTCTGTGTTCCTATTTTCTCTTAAGCCCACAACCTGCAGGCTTTTACCCCTATTGCTCCGATCAAGGTCACTGATGATTTTCATGTTCATACCCCAAGATGTGCCCTCATCTCTGGCACACAAGCACAGCTAACACAGTTGGCCCCTCTTTTCCCACTTAAAATGTCTTTACTTGGCTTCCAGGAAGCAAAATTGGTAATTACTGGGTTTCTCCTTTCAACTTCTCTGACCATTAATTCTCAATCTGCTGAGGCTCTAGTATCTCACTGAAATCTGAAAAAGCTGTAGTACTCAGTCCTTGAGCCTCTTTATCCACACTGACTCCCATACTGATCTCATTTTGTCTGCTTTCAATAGCTCATTTATAGTGTGATGGTGCTTCCCTGACTTAGGTCAGGGTCTCTAAGGTCTCCCTTAAATACCAAATTTGTATATCCAGCTATTTCCTAAAAAGATGCATTTATATAGTGGCAAATCCATTTAGATCAGTTAATATGTTCCAAACTGAGTCAATAATTTTCCCAGATATCTATCGCATCTAGTCTTGGCCATTTCTGTAAATTCCAGTTGCTCTGACCAAAATCCTTACATTCACTTTTACTCCTCTCTCTCTTACACACTCTATACCCAATTCATCAGTATCCTACCAGTTCTACTTCAAAAAGAGATGATCAAAATTCAACTTCTCACCACTTCCACTGCAACCAGCCTAGCTCAAGTCAGCATTAGCTCTCAACTGGATAAAAGCAATAGCTAATCAGATCTCCCCACTCCCACCCTTATGGTAAGTCCTAAACTCAGCAGCCAGAGTGCTCCTGTTAAAATCTAAGTTAGGGCCCTCCCTGTTGGTGTAATGGGTTAGACACAGCACTGCAAGCTAGCCGCAGCCACTTCAGTGCAAGTGCAAGTTCAATCCCCGCCCCGGAGATGATCTAGATGGCACAGCAGACCTCTCTTGTCTCACCTGCTCCTCCCCCCTCAGCATTGTACTTCGCTGATCTGCCTGTTCTGCTCCCCACTCTGTCTCTGGTGAATCCTCTCACTGCCCCTGCACGTCTGGCCTGTACCCCAGTTCTGTATGCATAAATAATCTTTTAAAAAATCTAAGTTAGATCATGTTGCCCCTCTGCACAAAACCTTTCAAAGAATCTCCA